TTTGGCAGAGAAAACGCTGTCCTGGTGAAAGGGAGGGAGGTGCAGGCTGTGGGTTGTACCTGTGGCCAGAGCTTGTCTGCATCTGCACTGATTGCCCTGGTTTGCTGCACTAAAGCAAACATCTTCCCTGGAATTGGTGAAAACGTGTCAGGAGCCCAGAGGATAAGGAGAGAAGAGAGATGATCCTGAGAGCAGTTTGGCTCAGTGAGCAATGGAGTAGTACCACCTTTCTTTAATAAATCACCATCAGAATCTGGATTTACGTTGAGACCTGGGGAATAAAGGCTTTTCTGCTTTGGGAAGTCAGTGGTCAGGCTAAGTTAATTTCAGGGCATCCAGCATCTTCTTCAAGCTGGGATGTCCTGGCCTGCTGAATAGATTTTAAATCTTACCTTTTCTTCAAGATGTAGTCTTTTGTGAGCTGTGGAGACTGGCAGAGGTTAGGCTGACGTCAGCCTTTATATTCACCACAAATGTCTAGACTTTGATATTGCAAACGCTTAAACCCCACTGCACGTGTACTTTTGGATGTAGCTACTGTGTGATAGAAGTTTCCAATGTCAGTTATAATTGTGGCCTGCTAAACCTCCTACAACGCCCCTAGCTAAGCATCTTTGCAAAAGCAAGGCAATGCTGGGGCAAAGCCAGCCTCACTGGGGGTTTTAAAACACAGCAGACATCAGTAATTCAGCACAGGACTTGGCATGTTTTACCTGTTAGTGGACTAAGAAAAGCAATCCTATTTAAATAGATAAAAGGGAAATGTATTGGACCCGGTCCTGCTGAGGCAGGGTCAGGGCATGAACTCCTGTGAAAACTGGCTCTGCCAGGATTTATTTCCTCTGATCCGATCAGGCAGTGGAGACTGGGGTGGGGGAGACTCGCCAGGCAAATTTCTCTCCCTGTGCATGTTCTGAGTTGGCCCGTGGCCCTTATCCCTGTCACGGTCAAGGGTTACTCTGTGCCTCTGGGGCAGAGCAGACGGGCTCCTGCCTGCTCTTCCAGGGGAGAGTGCAGAACATCTTTCCCCTTCTCATTGCCACAACTGTAGTGTTTTTCTTACACCTCTGCATGTTTCTACTCGAGTCTCTTAGACAAGGCGTTTCTGTGTAGATCACAAGTTGCTCCTTATTAGCTTTTAAATGGTCTTAGCACTACATTGCTGCAGAGCAAAGCCTGAAAGCCTCTCCCACAGTATTTCAAAAATATCAGGTAAATAAGGTAGTGGCAGCACTGATTTTAAAGCAGATTTTAAAATAATTTTTTTAATCCTTCAATCCCTTTGATTTTTCCTCAAACCCTGCCGAGTGTTTCTCTATAAGCTCAGGACATCTCTGGTGCAGCAGTGAGGATTTTCCAGCCCAGCTGGGTGTCATGCCAGCCTCTCCAGGGTGACAGTGTCAGTGTCCCCGGGGCACAGCCTCCCCACCCTGCTCTCCATCACAGCTCACTGCCCTCCCAGCCCCGTGCCTCGCTGCCAACAGCCCCTGACGCTCAGCTCGACGTGTTGGGATCTGCCTGTGCCACCTCCCCTGGAAAAGGCTTCCTGTGCTCTTACCCTGCCCTGCTTAATCAGCACTGGCTTTGGGGTGTGAGTGTCTCCCTGGCTTGGGTTGGCAATAGTAGTGGACATGGCAGTGCTGAGTAAATGATTGGACTCAATACTCTGGAGGTCTTTTCCAACCTAAATGATTGTGTGATTCCATAGGAGTGCCTGGGTTTGGCATTTTACCACAGCCCTGGATGAAAGAGTGTCCCAGAAGAATGGAGAGGGGAGGCAGTGGAGCAGTGAATGATCCATCCCTCTCCAGTACCAAACTGCTGTGGCCAAAGTAGTTCCAGGCTTCATGCAGGGACCTGGGCACACTATAAGGTGATTTTGGCCAAAGAACAGGACAGGCAAAGTGCAGCTGGGCAATTTCCCTCAACACCCTGGCCCCAGGACTGGTGTCTAAGGAACCCACTGCTCTGTCTTCCTTCCTTGTGTGGGTCTCCTCCAAAGAAACACATGAAAAGCCAAGGAAGGGGAAAGGCTGGATGCTCCCTCCCCAAGGCACAGGGACAACGGGATCTGAAAACAGCTGAGCCCAGAGACAGCCAGGGAGGTAACACAGCTTTGATCCCCATGAGCATTTTAGCACCTGAAGGCTTTGCCTGGGATTTTTGGAGATGCTCATGAGCTGGTCTGTGCCTCATGCCACCCAGCTGGGGTTAAAGGAATGTGGAGGAAAGGAGATATCCCCTCCTCCAGACCTCTCTGCTAAGGGAGCCTTGCAGAGCAGCTCCCACATGCCTTGTTTTCCTGATGTTGAGTGGAGCCAAGGTGGTGCAAGAGAGGAGAGGAGGCAGGAATGAAAGGGCTGAGGTTTGCCTCGGGGGCTCTCTGCAATCACCCAGCAATTCTCTCCCCTCTCCCGTGTTTGAACCGCAGGCTTGTCGAGTCCTCTCGAGGCCTGTACAAACACAGCATGGAGCTGCAGGTAAATAAATAAAGCTGCTGGTGCTGGGAACAAACTGCTGCAAAGACAGGTAATGCAGCAGGGGCTGTGCTGTGCCCCGGGGGTAGAGGCTGGGATGGAGGAGTCAGGAATGGGGATGGTGTGAGGCACCTTGGGGCTCCTGCACAGAGAGATGGCACCAGAAGGGGCTGGCAGGAACCCAGACTGTGCCACCAGAGCTGTGCAGGCACAAAAACCACATCTAGAGATGGAAAGGTGAAGGTTATGGTCACGAACATCATCTCACTGTATCTTTTCTTTTCTTATGTTTCTCCCTGGGCTGAAATAGCCACCTGGGGCTATGGTCAGATGCCCAAGGGAAGCAGATGAGCACAGTGTCTGCAGAAGCCCTGCAAACAACCTCTGCCTGATCCTGGAGGTGAGCAGGAAGAGCTGATGTTCATCTCTCAGCCCTCTCACCTGCAAGGAAGCAGCTGAGGACCTGGAGCAGGCTCAGCTCCATGGAGCCCTTTATGTCACACATCACCTCAAACCCACCTCCCAAGCCTACAGGGGTTTTTTTTAAAGAACACACCTGAGACTGGAAAGAGACAAAGAAATGCCTGTAAGCTTTAGGTCAACGGCCAGAGACTTCAGCTAAGTCAGAGGAGTGCACATACGACTAGGAAAGTCACCCGTAGGAGACCTTTACAAAACAGTAATTCCTAATTGCTGCATTAGAGCCAATTTAGCACCCCCACTCACCCCTCCTGCCTCCAAGGAAGGCTGGTTCACAGGGAAAAATACCCACTCCAATACTGGCAGCATGTCATTGCAATCCTTTGTTGTTTTTTTTTTTTTTTTTTGTCTAGTGCCAGCTGTGTTGCCTTCTCTGTAATGCATGTGCCTGTTATTGTGAAAGACAGCATGGAAATAAGGACTCATGAGTGTGGCCTCATGTTTAATTAGAAGCTAATGTACTATTATTATTAGACACTGAAGGAATGTACTGGCGAAGCAGTGTTTGAGCTGTTTTAAAAGCATTTTACAAGTGTACTTTCCCCTTGCCTTGCTGGTGTGAACCACCTTTATTAGGAGGTGCAAGACTGCTGTTACCTGGTCTTGCAGCTCTTTTGCACTTCGGGCAAGTACTGGAATTTAAGTATCTTTAATCTCACAGTCACAGGAGACTGTGAAATAGAAGGAATGGTGTGTGCTAGGCTAAGCCAAGCATTTCAGCTTGAGAGACCAAGTGGTCTGTGGCTGAATTTGCTATATTGAGACAGTGATTAAGAGCAGCTTAATGAAATATGGCCATCTTATTGTCTCCAAAGAAGTGGAAGGAAGCAGTAGGAAAAGGACAGTTTTGTTGAATGAGAAGTTTCACTGTCAGCACCTTTAGGAGCAGCTGGGACTGCCATGCTCTGCTAAGAGTGGCATTGCTTTGTAACTCCCATGTAATGGCATGAGTGTGGCTTCACCATCTACTTTTTAAAACCATTTCATTCTCCACAAACAGCTACAGCATAAGAGGAAACCATCCCAGTTGTACTTCAATGTGTTACATGCATAAAGGTTAGGTTATATGGAGCTTTATTCTACAATTTTGTTCTGTAAATAACAAACACCTCCCATTCCTTCAAGCTCCTGACTTTCTGTAAAGCTGTAGGGAATGTAAAACTTAGGGCAGTTTGGGCTTCAACATCCTTCAAGACAAGGTTGGATGGAGCTCTGAGCAACCTGATCTAGTGGAAGGTGTCCCTGGCCAGGTCAGGGGGGTTTTTCAGGTCCCTTCTAACCCAGGCCATTCTGTGATCACTAAACACATCATAGTTGTGTTCTACTGTTGTTGGTCAATGGGTTTTCAGTTGCTTTACCAAAATAGAGACAATTTGTGGAACACAATTTTTTATTAATAACAGGTCACATTTGTACTTCGAAAAGAGTGAAATTAAAAGGTGTATTAAAACATACCCACTCTAGGCAATCTATTTTCTTCAGTAGAAAAAAAAAAAAAAAGCATACAACAGGTAGAAATCCTATATACACAGTATATCAGCCATCAGCCCCTCCAAACAGTGTTTTGCAAATTGGTACAATGGTGTTAGAACAGACCATCCAGTTCCAGTCCAGCACAAATTTCAGCTCTTGACTTGCTCATTTAAGACAAACCACTAAACACCTAGTCCAGTTTACTGATCTCAGGATACATACCAGGTAGTACTGTACATGAAGACAGCAGTCTTAAGCTTTTACTTTTGCTTAGTTTTTTTGGACTCCTGCCTTGTTATTAAGTCTGCCTCATAAACTTTTGACTACATGTAAATCTGTAATCAATGTCTCCATTAAAAAACATAGCAGAAACCTGATTAACTGTACCTTAAACAGCCGTTTCCTCAACTCTTGTGTTAATTTCAAGTAGACTTCTATTGTGCTTATTCTACACTGGAGGCTTTCAGCCCAAAATATCAATTGCTGCAATGAACCATGAATCCATGCCATCTTTTTTTTTTCTTTTTGTTTTGAGGAAAATTAAAAAAAAAAAAAAAAAAAAAAAAAAAAAAAAAAAAAAAAAGCAGGGGTAACACACAAGGCACATCCTTCTCTCACAACATCCTTGGAAGGAGAATGTCTGGATCCAGGCAGGGTGGGCAGGCACAGAATGAATGACACAGACCAGGGCAGACTCCAGCCCTCCTGGCCTCAGTCACACTCAAACACCTCAGTCCATCAGCTGCCACCGCTGGTGAGCGCATCCCTGCGCAGCTGGAGGAGGCCCTGAGCTGCAGCAGCCTCCTCACACCAGGTGAAAAAACACGGCTCTGCACCTCGTGCTTAAGTGTCACTTAACAACACCGTAAGCGAGCTACTCCTGCTCTGCTGAGCAGGTGGGAGCAGGGTGTGGCACTTGGCTCTGGGCATGTCAGTGTGAGCCCCGTGCTTGAGGAGAACCTCCACCGCCTTCGCGTGCCCCCCTCGCGCAGCCAGGTGAAGAGCCGTGAACCCCTCGCTGTCAGAAACGTTGATATTTTCTGCGCTCACAAGTTCCTCCACCACCTCAGAGTGCCCATTCTCCGCAGCGAGGTGCAGCGCTGTCCTGTTTGAAGGGCCTCTGGCCAGAACGCTGGCCCTTTCATCCAGCAGCAGCTTTGTCGTGGCCAAGTGGCCGCTGCGGGATGCCAAGTGCAGGGCCGTGTATCCTTCTGCCGTGGCCGCCTCGATGTCGGCGCCGTGCTTGAGGAGCAGCCTGGAGGTGCTCGTGTGGCCGGTCCCGGCGGCGATGTGCAGAGCAGTCTGCAGCAGCCCGTTCCTGACGTTGACATCCGACTCCAGGTCGATGAGGAGCCGGGCCACGCGGTAGTGACCCCGCTGGGCGGCCAGGTGCAGCGAGGTCCTTCCGTCCAGGGTCTGCACGTTGACGTCGGCGCCGCGCTGCTTGGCCAGCAGCTTGACGATGGGGAGGTGGCCCTGCCAGGCGGCGTAGTGAAGGGGCACCCAGTCGTCCTTGCCCTTGATGTTGACGTTGACGCCTCTCCGCAGCAGGATGCGCACGATGTTCTCCTGGCCGTACTGGCAGGCTATGTGGATGGGGGCTCTGCCCTCGAAATCCACCTCGTTTAAGGACGCGTTCTTATCAAGCAGCATTTTGGTGCTGAAGTCGTCCCCGTTTTGGGCAGCAAAGTGAAGAGCGGTCCACTGGTCCTCGTCTTTGGCGTTGACGTTGATTTTCCTGGCCATAATCAGCTCCACGATGCTTTTGAATTTCTTCTCGATGGCTATGTGAAGAGGGGTGGACCCTTTCTTGTTGGTGAGGTTAGGGTTAGCATTGTACAGCAGGAGCCATTTGACACATTCTTCTTGGCCTGCTTCAACAGCCAAGTGCAGAAGACTGGAGTTCCCATCTAAAACAATATCAACATCTTGAGGCTGGAGGATCTTCATCAGCTTGCTGGTATCTCCGGATAAAATTGCCTCCGTTAGCTTTCTCTTCTGTATGTCTGTAGTGCCAATATCTACATGGATAGAAGGAAGAACATTTTTACCATGAGGGTGGCGAAACACTGGAAAAGGCTGCCCAGAGAGGTGGTGGGGGGATGGCCCATCCCTGAAAACATTCACCTTGATCTAGCTGAAGATGTCCCCACTCATTAACGGCCCATTCCAACCTAAACTGTTCTAAGATTCCATAGAAAAGGCAGCATCGCAATTCTTATGCCCATCAAACCTTACCTGTCCATGGTTTCAGCAATGAGCAGCCTGCACAGCAATCCACCCCTCCAACCCACAGGAGTCCCAGAACATTTTCAGGTCAGATTTGGGCCCCCACTAATTCTGTTTCTGAAGACCAAAGGATGTTGTGGTTGATCTCCCTGCACTAACCATTGTTTACCCAACTGGAAAACAGATGTCTGGGGTTTGCAGCACTGGAATGAAAGGTGAGGGGGTCTTTACCACAATGGTCCCAGGACTGCTGAGAAGGTGGCTTGAGTCCTTTCAAAGGTGCTCAGCTTTAGGCTTAGTATAACTGAAAAAGCCACAACTCAGCTGGTCTGACTGGGCAGTGGCTTTAATCCCACGTCAAGCAGGATGCTGGACTAGTAGTGACCTCCCTTCCAACCAACCTGTACATGACTGATTCTGTAATTGCTTTAATGGGAGTTTACTCCTTTACAAAAGTAAATGAGATTTATTATTTCTCATTAGATCGTGTTTGGGAACCACATAATTTTTTTATTTTTTTTCCTTTTAAATAACAACCTCCAGTAAACAAATTTGTAGTGCTGACAGCAAGAGAAAGCAAGGCTAACAGTAATTTCCAGAATGTTGTTCTACTCTCCAACCCATTGCCTCCCATGCCCCAGTCCAAACAACTACAAAGGAAAATTTGACCACTACCTGAACTCTCCCTTTCAAAGGAAAGGGAAAGGGATCCTCTGGATGAAAAAGCTGAATCTACAGATGAAACTCCTGAAAGCCGCTTGTCACTGGAGGCAAGTTTGGACTCAGAAGAGCTGCGGCTGAGATCCTCAGGGCCTTCCATAGTCTGTGAAATCCCTGAATCCAACTGGGACAACAACTCTGACAGACTGTAATCCTTCACTGAGAGTAGAGCAGGCTCCTGCTTCTTCTGGGAAAGTGCACAAATCCCCTTCAAGAGAAGCACACAAGCATTTTAGAAAGGTCAGCAAACAAATCTGAGCATGAAGCCCTACAGAAGAAACATAAATTTGTTAGTTTGCAGGTAGCTTTTAAACACTATTTATATTAAATGAAACCTATGAATAAGGTCACTGAATTTTTTCAGAAGCAGGAGGGCAGCTTCCATCAGTGCTCACAGAGCCACTAAATCCACGTGGCTCTTCTGTCTATGATGGTTTTTAAGATCAGTCACACCCATGCAGTTCCAGCCTTTATTTCCTAACTGTCCTGCTCTCCCTCCATAGAATAAGATGCACTTGCATTTGGTTCTGCCCTGAGGTTTTCCTGAGCCTGCTGTCATTTGTGCATTCCAGTCCTTCACCAAGACCCACTTCTATCAGACAAGGTGGTGCTCAAAAACAGCAAAGACAAAGTTGCTTGGAACCTTCCAGGTGATAAAGGAGCCTGTTCCAAAACCCAAAGGTTTGAACAAGAAGTGAAAGAGAAAATACCTCAGGCTGCTGCTCTGGGGCATTCTTGGTGTCCAGGTCCTGAGTTATCATCTCTTTTGTTTCATCTTCTGGTTTTTCACAAAGGGCCTCTGTTTCTGAAGTGATTTCTTGAAAGAAAACAAGAGAAGGTTTCAGCGCTTGGCTTTTTTCAGAAGGAGAGTTTCTGATATACCCTGCTGCCTTTCTCTATCAATCAAACTTAAAATCTCTGAGATACTGAGGGAGAAGGACTCCAGTCCTGATCATTCCATCCAGCACCTCCTCAGTGGGCACAAGTGTGCCAAAGGTACCCAGGGCTGCACAAACAATTCATTTTCAGCCACACCAGACTGGTGTTACACAGGGGTCACACTGCAGGACTGTGAAACGGGAACCACTGTACTGCTGGCAGATTTAATATGGTTTTTTTTTTAAAGATGGAATCCCTCATCCCTTCAGTCCTCATTCCTTGTTTGAGCAGAGGAGAGAGAAGAGGCAAATCTCTCCCACTGATGTTAAATAAAGCTATATAGTGACAGCACTTGCTACATCCCCCTGTACACTTGAATTCATAACAGGTGCTTTGAACAAGTTCAAACCTTTTACTGGCAGCAAAGTGACTGTACAAACTGTTTCATTATAAGAAAACAATTCCCTTTCTCAACATACAACAGCACAAATTTCAAGAGCCAGTTCCTTCAACGCTTTGGTACACTGCAAACCACACCAGCTCCAGCTTGGCCTGTGTCCTGACACACTCTATCAGAAATAAACAATTTCTGGTTGAATGGACCAGCTGGTTCAGTACAAGGCTTATTCCTGGCGTGTTTACATAACACCATCATGGTCAGGCATGTCCTCAGATAATCCCTTCCTCCACAAATGAGTAAGTGGCCTGTATCATTGTCTCCACCACACAATGTGCTCTATTTGTTCTGTCACAGAGCTTCTCAGCGTTTACCCCAAGGATTAGCAGAGTCCTGAGCAATAACATGACTCATAGAAGAATAAATGGGCAGCCAAGTTACGAGGAAATCTTACCTTGAAATGTTGGCCGTTCACCAGGATCATCTTGCCAACATTTTTGCATCAGTTTGATCAAGTTATTACATGAATGAGGTCTGGATTTGGAAACAGCAGGTAGCTCTGGGCGGTGGCCTTTAACTACTTTTACCATAATATGTAAAATGTTGTTTTCCTCTGTAAAGCAAAAGCACACAAATTTAGATGTCCCAGCAAAAGGGAATCACTTTTTTTTCCAAGAACATTAACAGTGCATTAGGCTGAAAATTTGTTTTCACACATTTTTTTCTAGATTTCTCATCAATAAGAGAAAAAATTGTTGGTTGTCTTCTCCAACAAGATTCCTTTTAATGCAGCAACACCTGCTTCTCATGTAGCACTTAAAAACAATTTTCAGCGAGTGACTGTGTTCTTTTTCCAACCATTAAAGATAAAGAACAAAAGGGAAGGAAAAAAAAAAACCTCAAACAGTTCTTTGCTACCTCTGTTTGGATTTCCATATCTGCAGTGAGAAAACAGAACCTTAGGTTTTATTTAGACCAGGTACCTAAACTATTCATAAAGGTGAAGGAAGAAGACAAATCAAGAGGTGCAGTAATGCAGCTCCTGACTGTAAATCAACCACTGGGCTAAACGGAATCCCTCACTAGGGAGAAAAACTAAAGTAGACTGGAACTTGTTGGGACATGTTTGCTATACATAGGCCAGTCACAGACACAGGAAAGTCATAAAGAATAAATAGCTGTCCATGCATTTACTGCAGGGTGGAACAGGGCTTATTCTCACAGACAGCTGTTCTTATTTTTTTATTATTTTTATAAGGAACAAATCTGTACCCACAATCTACAAATAAACTACAGAGCCTCTCTACAGAGGAGCTGCTTCTGAACAACAGTAGAGCTGCCTGCCAAATTGGCTTTGCCACACACTGATCTGAAGATGTGCAGCAAACTCCAGCAGAAGCAAAAATGTGCAGACAAGGGCCCCTGCAGCAATACAGGTTCTGTTTTCATGACATAGGGCAAAGGAGGACTTAAGCCTGTGATCAGAATTTGAGAGTTTAAAAGTGTCTGCCACACAACACTATCAGAATTTGGAGGTCACACACAAAAATCTGGTGCTGGTGGGGCAAGAACTGTGCTAACAATGAGAAAAAGGAAAAAAAAAATCAAGATAACATGCAACTTACCTGCAAAAGGCTTCTTCTGTGTAAGGACTCCCCAAACCACTATGGAAAAGCTACCAAAAAAAAAATTTAAAAGGTAAAAAAAAAATTTCTACAATGTAATTTCTAAAATGTAATTTATTTCCCTTGTCCCTCCACTTTTGCATCTAATTTAGCTGATGAACACACACACACACAGATGCAGCTAAGAGCCATGATTTCAAAGTCTAGCTTTGGCAGGGAGGAACCCGAGGCTGCAAACACAGGGACTTGCTGGAGGCTGCCAAGTCCGTGGTAGCATTTACCAACCACTCCACATCCACCCTGACAAAATCAGAGAAAACGTTACAGTGGATTTAATTTAATGCTTCTGCCCTGCAATATGACTTTAAAGAAATCCATTTAATTTAGAGTAAGAGATAACTTTTTAATCTAAAGCTGTGATTTCCTCTTCATAATAATCTTGCCATGAAAGAAGAGCCAAAGATGTAGTGATGAAATCCACGGAAGATAACTCAGAATTTTATCACGGATTTGGAAAGTAGGTCAGGATGTACCTTTAGAAGGGAAATTAAAGGTGGGCAGAGTGCCTCCCATTGCCAGTTGCTAACAAATAATTTCAAGACTTGGGATCACCTGCAGTTTTTAAAAGGCCTCTACCCTACAAAGACTCTGCAAAACCCAAAGCAAATGTGACACATTTCAAGACGAGGTTCAAACTGAATCTAGGGGTTTCATGCTTAAAAAAAGTAAAAAAGGGCTCATTTTGCAGGGTTCCCAAAACAGCATTTAGGTGTTTCCATAGTTCACTGACCTGTACACATCATGCTTGGTGTCAAAACATCTGTTTTTCTCCTTGATGCGCTCTGGAGGAAGATAGGCAATCGTGCCACACAAACCATCCATGCTGATGTCATGGGAATGGGACAACCCATTGCACTTTGCAAGCCCAAAGTCAGAAATCTGCAAAAAAAAAAAAAAAAAAAAAAAAAAAAAAAAAAAAAGGAGGAGGAAGAAAGTGAGAAAAGTGCATGGTACTATCAGACTTTCAAGGTGTTCACAAAATACTTTCTGCAAAGAACAACAGATGCAACAGGATGACCCAACAAATACTGTGAAATGCTGTTCAGAAGTATTAAGCCAATAAAACATCTCTGGAAGCATAATGCTATGGCAGGTTTTTCTTTATGGTTAAGCTAAAAGAAGAAGAAGAAAAAGAAATAAAGGCAAGCAGTTTTTGCAAGCAGCAGCACGCCAGGCCATTACATAGCAAGCACAACAAACAGTCAAGACAATTTATTGTAATTTAAACCAGTCGAATTTAGCTACTGCAAACTACTTTAATGTAATTATTGGCCCTGCCACCCCCTCTCCCTACATAACCTCACACTGTAGGATGTGCTTGAATGTCCTGGCTCTCCAATGAACTCTGCAGAATCACTCTTTCAGATATCACTGTTACACTGGCCATGCCAACAAGGACCAAGCCCAACAGCAGAGCCACCAAGTGCTCCAAAAACCCAAATGGAAACACACACACATCAAAAACCCACACAGGGAACTCTTTCTGGCAGCCAGGAGATACAGCAAGTTGGTGCAGTGACACAGGGAGCACAGCTGAAATGAGCACAACAAGTGACAGCAAGTTTATAAAAAGGACACACCTCCACTTTAATTTGAAGTGTCAAGCAAATATGCATTCATTTGCTCTCAAAGGCATACCAATCATCGAGCAAACAGATAGGCCAGGAATTTCCTTTGTCTTACTTATTTCCCACTGGACAAAAATGTCTATTATGCCAAGTGGAAATTTCAAGGAAAGTCAAGTCTTTTTGGGCCACTGATTTTTGTCTCCATGTCAGATAAGATTCCCCCTCCCCCTAACTTAAACATTCTTTTTATCTAAAAAATACTCAGGTTTTTCAATGACTCATTCCCCTTTTGATCTTCACAGCTTCTCCTTTGAGAAAGTTTTCCCTCAAAACAACAAGCATAATTAAAAAAAGCTTTGCTTTTTTTTTTTTTTTTAATAGGCTCCGACTGTACACTTTGAGAAGTTTCTCTCTAAAGATACCACAAAACTAGTTGTAACATGTGTCCATTACTGGAAAGGGAGAAAACTGCTGCCAGCTTCAGCCTCCTGGAGAACAGGCAGGTTACACAGCCATGCAAGGAATCTCCCTTTGCCATAAAACAAACAAAGCAACCCACACAGCTTCAGCAAGAACTTCTCCCATGGACAAAGAGCTCAGCAGAGGCATTCTGAGGAGCTGGAGAACTCAGCTAGAACAGAGGTATGCCCTACCTGTTGTCCCTCTTTAATCTGTAGGGTAATGTGGGAATGACTTGAGAACAAGAAAGTATATACACAGGAAAAAAAATTTTAAAAGTGGGGGGAGAAAAGGAAAAAAAAGCAAAGGTATCTGGAGGAATAGCTTGTCATCCTTGTAGAACTGCACTATCAAGAGAGGGATTGCTGGACTCCTCAAGGAAGCAAGCCAGGAAAGCACCAAGTAGTCAAGAAACCCTGGTCCACACACCAGGTCACCCAGGGAAGACCCAAGTCGACCACTGCAGGAAATTCTGCTTGATTCTGGGGCACTTGGTGCTTCAGAGGAGAACAAAAGCACAACCCCAGCATCCCACTGTGATGTCTGTGGTGTCAGGTTAATAAAAGAACCGAACGCTGCAAGTCTGGACGGATCCGACACGGTGAAGCGCCGCTCTCCTTTGATTAACGTGCAGCAGAGGCTTGTGCACACCTCAAGAAATCCAGGCATAATTAAAGCCACACACCTCCCTCTTTGTCTAAACAATGCCGTGTTTCCTACTGCGTGAGTTAAGAAATAAAGATGAAATGCAGGCAGCAGGGTGACGCTCCTGTGTTTGGAGCCACCAGCTACGGTGTGTGAATGTAAGGCTGGGGGCTAAGGCAGAGCTGAGCACTCCAGTCAGAAAAAGTCACCCTACAAACTGAAAAACAGCTAAAGTACATGGCATACACCCTCCCTGGGCTAGCAAGAACTTCACCTTGTGGAGCTGTTCCTACCTAGCGTGAAGGACTGGGTATTATGTCAATTAATAAAAAAATCACCCGTAGAGCAGGGCTTTGATCATACCAAATTCTGCAGGAGAAAGCACTGGAAATTGAGGAATTGTTATCTTTCAGGCTGCAACAAAATAGTGAGATTCTGCAGACAGCTTTTCGTGGCTTTTATTAGTTCCTCTAGGGTGAATTTTCCACGGTACATGGCAGATTTAATCAAGCAGGTTCTTTAAACACCAGTGGGAACTGCGCAGTGGGTGGAAGATACAGCCATTTAACTTGCCTTGGTTTGCCTTTAAATTGCTTGCCAGGCACCTCGTTCTGCAACACCCTTTGCTGGGGAAGGCCGTGGAAGTGGAGCACCCTTCCCCACTCCTTCCCTGCAGCCCACCCTGGTCTCTGCCCTTCCCTTCCCCAAAAATCCCGAAGGAATCCAGTGATTCCAGGTGGGAATTCCCTTCGGAAGCAGTGCGCGGTATCAGCAGGGGAGACACGGAGGCGACGGGGCGCTGCACGCAAAACCCGCTGTGGGGAGAGGAGAAAGGAGCCTTGGCCAAAGCCCACGCACACACGGGCATGGTTCATGTTCAGGCAGCTCTGCTCCTCCAAGGGCTGCAGGAGAACAAACGTGAGCGCCGAGCACGCACGTGTTCTCCAGCAACGCTCGCTCTACCAGCGCGTTGGAGGCTGGAAACAGAGGCCTCTCCAAGCTCCTCAGAGAGAGATCAACAAGTTCTAGTGAAGGTGGAAAAACGTAGTCTGAGATACTGGTGTTGAAAACAATTTCCCGTGTAGGCTCCGAGAAACATAGTTTTAGACATAATAGAACTGTGGTAAGAATATTGCTTACATTTTTTATACAGGACAAGGCAGACCATATGAGTAGTTTATATGTAACCTGGCGTGCTAAGAAATCAGAATTCTGATGGGTTCAGAAGAAATGGTTCAGGTTTGTGTTTTTAGATTATTGGGTAATTTGTGTATAAGAATCTGCATTGGGGAGAGAGCTCTTGTCTCTCACTTCTCTCCTCACCCCCACCATCATCACCTGAAGAAGAGAGGAGCTGCAGCAGCAACATCAACCCTCCCGGGGCTTCAACAGGAGCAGCTTCTACTGATTGGGACTTTACTTCAATTTGGGACTCTATGCTGAAAACTTTTAGCATGGATTGAACGTTTGTGACTCTTTACCTTTCCAGACTGATGTGCCTTTACAATAAACAACTTTATAGCAACTAAGAGCTGCTTGGCTCTTTTAAAGAAAACAACCACAACCCGACTCCAAAGGATTCCAAGATCTCTGAAGATTTCCAGTTATTTTTTTATTTTTATTTTAGTTCAGTCTGTTTTTAATGCATGTATGCAAGGCTTTCTCTGCTTCTGTCATTCATGGATCTCTCCATTCTAGATAGTACAAAAACACTCACTTGCAAAGTCTTAGATGCTTTAAGAAGTTATTTTTGTAATTTTTTTTAATTTTTTTTTTAAATAGAAGATACGCTCACATAACTACAACAGCTACTACAGTCAGCTATTCCCAAGCACTGCAGGGATCTACTTCCCAGAAATAACATGAGTGCCTGGAAAGTGCTTTTTTTTTTTACTGATGACTCCTGACAGACTGCCCTGAACTCTACTCTCACCTCCTGATGTCCTGAACTGTGCACTGAGGCTTTATGTCATTTTCCTGCAAGCAATACTCCAGAACCCACTGCAATGGACTCAGGGACAGAGTTCACCAAAAGGTTTTCTGCATCAATTACACTGGATTAATTTTTAATCTCTGCTGGAACATCTAGTATTTGTCTCTGTACAAAGTCTCTGCACTTGGATATTGAGAATGCCCCATATTTGTCCGTGGGGTATTCAGGTGTCTGGTGGCAGAGGACATTTCCTTTGTTTGCTTTTTTCTGGGGATAGGGGAAAAAGGCTGTTCCACTTCTGTTCTTAAGAAATGCCTGAAATTTTTAAGAAATTTGCACAGGTCCCAGATCTAGACTACTAAAAATTATGACTAAAAATTAATTCCAACACAAAGTGCACTCCAAACTTATCTCTTTTTGAATAGGTTTTTTTTTTTTAATGAATGCACTTCAGTTTGCTTCTAAAAGACACCTTTCTGAAACAGACTATTTCCATCGTTCTCCAACCTGCCCTGAAACTTTTAACTCCTCCAAACCCATTTCAGGTGGGACATTTGTAATGCTCTTTTCATAAGCAGCACAAACCAGAGCCAAACACCCATTTTAATCCATCATGAACCTGGATTACTGTAACTGGGATGGCTTTGTTCCCTCCTCTGTGCCACCACAATTAGATCAATCAGAGAATTGATCAAGGTGCAAACCAGCTTTGTTGGTTGGGATTAAAGAGCCATGCAACAACAGCCCTGCATGGAAACCTTGATCAGAAAGGGTGGGAAACAAGCAGAAGGGACACACAAAACAAAGGCTCTCCTCATCTGTCATAACAGGAGAGCAATTGCAGCTGATAACAAAAGTGGCTGTGCTACCTACATCAGGCAGTCTAATAAAAACAGACAACTGCTCTTTACTAGCCTGGCCTCTGGGTATTGTTTGGACCTACAGCTAACAGCCTACACGAAGAAGCTTTCTGATCATGAAATTTGCCATCTGACCAGGCTGCTTCTAACTCCACGCTCAGAAATTTTGCAGCTGAAGCAAATATAAGTGAAGACCACAGAGGCAACCTTTCCATCAAGGCCATCAGCACAGTACAACACAGCAGCAAACTTCACACTGGTTTAAAGTGGAAAACTGGGGAGGGGAGAAAAGCAACAACAGGGAGCTTAAAGCAGGGCACTGCTGAGAGCAGCTCGTTCTGCTTCAAGTTCTTTACAAGCAAAATCTGGGAGATGAAAAAGAACTGGTCAGGCTTGTCTCTCTATGTGTACAAGAACCCACACATATATCCATGTATGTCTGTGTGTGTATGTGTACATACATATATATACATATATATACATATATATATATATACACATATATATATATATATATATATATATATATATGTATGTATGTAAAACAAGATGAGGAGCTGCAAAAAGCCCAAACAAGAACTTAAAAATAATGTTTCTGCCCAAAAGTATTAAGTTGCAGGTCGGCTTAATTTTTAACACCTGAACAAAATATAAAACTCTTGACCATGAGATTTTAGAAGGCAGAAAACCTTTGAAGCAGCCACAGAGATCACGAGGGCACGGTAGCTGGCAACAAGTTGGGCATGAGATTTCTGCACGTGGTGAGGTGTTTATTCTCCTACCAAGGGCCCTACAGAGAGATCCCATCACAGCAGGGAAGGAGCAAACTCACAGCCCACGAGGGCAGCGCTGGAATGTGGTTTGCTTCCCTGTGCCAGTGATTGCCACATCACAATAACTCAGAGGACACATCCAGAATGTGTGTGGAGGGCAGGAGAGCTGAAAAATGAGTGCAAAAGTCGTGGTCCAGTTGAGCAAAGAAGTAGATGTCAGAACAGCATGTAAATATTGAAAGACTGAATGTAAGGAACACTGGAGAAAGGGGCAAGGAAGGATCTTGTTGGTGCAAATAGAAGTAAAAGATTGGCATGAAGGAAGAAAAAAAAGCAGGCTGATCCCTGCTGCTGGGATATGGAATAATCCTGCCAAGGAAAGCAGTGTTTAAGGCAAACAAGATGGAGCAGGACATGGCAGGGAAGGGAACTCCCACCACCAACTCACAAGGGAGGATGGATGCATCCACCTTCCAAAAAACAGCAAAGCTTTACCTGGCGCTGCACATATTACACACAAACATTTAAAATCACCAGGGAATCCCCCAACGTGCCTTTGGTAGAGTTAATACCTGTCCATCTATATCCCTGCTCGGGATAATCCCATCCTCCTAATTATCCTCCCAGTTCAGCACACGCTTATGTAATGCCCAGGCTTTATGATATGGAGGCACCCACTTGATGATAAGTTCTGTACAGCAGCACTGCCTTAGTCACCAGCCTCACTCAGGGCTTTACAGTGAGCTCTGTGCTCGTAAAAGGAGCAGGGTGTGTTTGCATTTAACTGCAGGATGGCACAGCAGCATTTCTAATGCTCTCCTCTGGAAGACTGACTGTTTCCTGGCTCAAGGGCAAACAGTTTGTAAAAGTCCTCCCTACCTCCAAACTCTTCTTTTGCAGTCTGCAACATCTCTTCACTCACCTTAGGACTCTATTAGGGACAGGTCACATACTAAATTAATGCTGACATTTAAAAACACTTCAATCAGCAGCTCCATTAGCCTTCCAGCAAGAAAATGCACATTAAATCGAGCTGCAGGGTCTGAAATTTAATTATAAATTTCATGTCACACAAAAAGAAGGTTTGGGGCCACATTTTTAAAGTGAAGGCGCCTCACAGAGTATGTTCATCTCTCATTTTGCATATAGATTCCTGTGCCTGCTTTGCTTCTTGGAGGGCTTTCCAAGATGCCTGTGGATGTAAAAGACTGCTGTCTGGAAAAGGTTTGGATTAGACCATTCCTTTCTGAACTCCATGGAAAGGATCTGAAGACCTTCATACAGAGGTGTTTCATACAGAAGTAATAGTTCAAGGATGTCAGCAATGACCTCATCAGTGACTTTTTAATTTTTGTACATCTTGCACTTTGCCCCCTCGTGTTACATCACCACCCAGATATAAGCTGTGCAGCAGGCACTTCAACCTCCCCTAACAGTGAGAAAAACACAGCCTTGCTATCTGCACTCATGGATGAGTCAAGAATCAGGAATTTAAGAAGTTATGCAAGCAAGCATGAACTTTTAAGTAAATAAATACTTAGCAAAGGCCACTCAGCACCATTGTGTGAGAGCAGGCTTTCAACAGTTCAAATCCTGATGTTCTGGTCATAATAGCATGACCACCTGTAGATGCCTCCTACCTCAGAAAGAAAATCCTTCTAAGAAATAAATCACAAAGAGGCCTAGTAAAAAAGATGAGACCATCACAAGTGTGATTTCATCAGTGGCACACACCTCTTATGGCTCCAACCCTCCCATGACATCAGGAAATCTGTCTTTATTAATGAAAACTTCATTTTTAGAATGATACAGGCAAGACCAAAGGCACTTGATCAGTAAGGGGACCAGGAAAACAGGGAACACATTGATTATGGCACTGCTAAAAAAAATAAATGAACACTAAAAAAAAAAAAAAAGGGAAAAAACTGTATTTCAATCTCTGGGCTCTCTAAAAAGAAAGTTGAGAAAGCAAGCACAGCCTCCTTGGTCCAGCTGACCACAGAACCTCCAGCAGACAAGGCTAACAAGTTTGCCAGTTTACTCTGGAAATGGTAACAAAAATAATTTCATGCTGTTACAGCCACAAAAAAATTCCTTTCAGTGACCTCTGGTATGCATGAACAGTCAGGACACAGATACTTCCTCACTGTACATGCTCTGAGCAAATGGAAATGAGCTGCCTCTGGGAAGGCTCCTCCAGACTACAGCTGGAAATGAGATCTGTGCATTTAGTGGTGCAGACAAAGACCTAGAACAAGGCAACTGTGGCAACTGTGGAAGTGCCAAAGATGATTTAGAGTTTCACACCACTTTTCTCTCACTGTTCTCATCACCCTGCTGCAAGGAAATTTGTAGCAGGTCTCAGAACCAGAGTTTACTGCATCCTTCTAAAATTTGAGGAGGGTTCTCACAAGTTCCCTAACCATAGCTCTATTTATGTACTAAAGTGGTGCATGAACCAGGTGGATTTATTTAAGGGTGGATTTTAATTTGGGAAGCAGTAAAGGTGGGTCCCTGACAGAGTGTCCAGTGCATACCTTGACGTGGTAGTGGGCATCCAGCAGGATGTTTGCAGGCTTGAGGTCCAGGTGGAGCAGAGGGGGGGACATGCAGTGCAGGAAGTTCATCCCCACGGCTGTCTCGTGGATGATGCGGAAGCGCAATTCCCAGGGCAGGGGCTCGGACGCCAGGAGCTTTTCCAGGGACCCTGTTTCCATGTACTCCATGACCAAACCCACTGGCTCTCTGCAGATGCCATAAACAGGAAGGATGTAGCGAAACTTTGCCATTTCCATCTTCCTGGCTTCTTCCAGTAACTCCATGCGCTCCCTGGGTGGAAGAGAATGGGAGGTGAGGGATGGAGCAGCTGTTTCTGCACAGGCCAAACACACACAAAACATTTCTTAGAAAACCAAACATCCCATTTTGTGATCATCCCCTGACTGACCCATGCTGCATCTCACCAGCCTGCACTCCAGGTGTACTTCCATATTTACTGATTTGGGGGGTTATGCTTTCAATGGCAGATGAGCTCTACCACAGGTGAGCCCTACATTTCCAGTGTGAATATCCCAAGTGCAGAGCCCATCTCCCTGCTCTGCTGGTTGTGCTGTGCTGTTCAGAAGGAGGGTGATACATGTAGAGCCCAGGTTTAGCACTGCTGTAACTCCTTGGGCTGAAGTCATTAACTTTTTGTGAGTCATAAGGCTGTGTTATGAAGAGAGGCCAGTCAGCATCATTTCAGCAGCCCTGCTGGTGCATCCTGAGTGTACACAGACCCAAAACTGGGGAGAGGAATCCTTGGAGCCACCACTGAGGGGAGCAAACTGCCTCCTGTAACCAGGGAGACATAACAAAAGCCTCCCCAAAATACAGATTTGACAAGTCCAAAACTGCACTCAGCTCCAGCAGGTGCCAAAAACTCCCAGCACACCATTCCCAGTGATGTAACAGCCTGGCAGCTGTAATGAGCACCCCGGGTTGTTTACAGGTCACTTCAGCCTGACCCTGCACAGGGTTAAGTGTTACTCAGTCCCAGCTGCAGCCTCCCAGGTCAAGACCCTTAATTGCTGTGCCTTTCTTCTGCACCTCCCTTACAGCCTTCTGCAACAGCCCAGAGGCTTCAAGCTGGAAAGAGGGAACAAGGGTCCTCTCCCCAGGCTGCCTGTGCCCACAAAGAGTGACCACACTTGATGGTTTAAAGAGCCTTCTGTCTGTAAAAACTGCATTATTAGTGATTATGAACCCTGCCCAGAGCATCTTTGGGCCATGGGCACTGACACATCACTATTGCTGCCATAGATTCACAAAAGAGGGCACAGGGAGGTCAGACAGGTAATATTTCCTGAGCAGACCCTCTCTTGTTACATAACAGCTCCTGCAATGCACCCAAAGACGTGCACACTGTCTAATGGACAACAGTACCTGAAGTAATAGGACAAAGTTTGTGCTCTGTGCCACCAAGAAGTGATGCCAGTCACCACTGTAGGAGCCTTGTGGCAGAGCCTCAGCTCAATCAAACTGTTTTGGTTTTAAAATCTCAAATCCAAGGCCAGCTAGTAGCACTGTCCACTTCTAAAAAGAGAAAACACCAAGCCCAGCTGCACACTGCCAAGTCTTTTCTTCTCACGTGTCCCCCAATGCCTGGATGATCTGGGAGAAGCTGAAACGCAGTCTGTGAGGAACTCTCAGATTTTGGGAGCTGTCATTTGTCCCCCAGGTTCTCTGGGAATGGGATCTGCTGCCTGCTGCTCACCTGCTGTGGCAGCCTGCAATAACCTGCTGCAGGTAAAATCTCCCCCCAGGGCATAGCCGGCAGCAAAAAAAAAACATTTCAGAGGCAAGATCAGGCTGAAAAATGGTTTAAAGAAGGATGTACACGCTGAGAGAGTAACAACAAAGATAAGGGAAATCTTTTTCTCTTAACCATGTTGGCTCCTGCTGCTCCCTACAGCAACTTTCTTGTGAAATAATTGCCTTTGCAGACAAGTACCCAGTTTGCTCTTTGGCACGCTGGAAGGGAGCGCCCATGAATAACACAACCAACTCCTTGCCCCCAAGCCACACGCATAGCCAGCATAATTCACCGGGCTGAGCGCTGGAGTCAGGGATGTAAAACACCCGTCTGAGCCCTCCCAGGCAAAGCAAGGACCCAGCAACAGCCAAGGTCTGACAAGAACCACTAAGCTCCTCGGAATGGGGTTCTCAGGCTGGCAACAGCCTCAGAGAGCATCGCCAAGAACACAGATTGGCTGCTGGAAATGGGGCGTTTTCTAAAATAGAAAAACCCAGAATTTTCTGATTCATTCAAATAATTTTTAAAACAACAACAACAAAAAAATCTTGCTTTCTGCTTGGACCAGATCCAGTTAATTGAGTGAATTAACAGAACAACAGGCGAGTGCCCTCTGTCTAATTTGCCTGTTTAAATAAAGCCCCCATGCAACAATTACCACCCTTAGCACTTTCCCATACCCAGAGCATTCAAAACTGAACCAGCCAGAGGCTTGGGCCAGCCGGGGAGGCTTTCAGACAGCTTTCAAAAGGGCCCCTGTCACCTTTTGAAAACAGAAAAGGAAAGAACACAAAAGAAGTGAAGAGAGCCAAAGCAGTCATTAGCGGGGTGCTGGAGCGCGCTTGCATTAATGGCATTAACACAAACAGCTCGTTAAACCGAGATGTGCTGCACCAGGCACAGATCAAAGGTCTCTCCCTTGCCTTGCCTTGCCTTGCCTTTCCCCTCGCAGGATGCCACGGGCGCCAGGCACAGACCGAGCTGTTCCCGGAGCGCTGAGGCTGCTGCGGGGATGGAGCCTCCAAATCCGCATCCCGGGATCGAAGGATGCGGCGGGGCCGTGCGCTGCTCCGGCACTCCGGAGCTCTTCTGGGACAGACAAAGTGCAGGAAAAGCGAAGCTCATGGTGGGGTTTTTCAGCCCAGAGCCATAGGTCTGGCTTCTCTCATCATGGTTTTTTATTTAATAGCCACGCGATTAAAGGGTCAGAATTATCTTCTCGAGGCGCCTCGGTTCCGCTCCCCTCTCCCTCCAGGAGTATATCCTAACTTTATCGTAATAAAGGAAAAATAAAAAAGGGAAAAGACGGGGGGTGGAAAAAGGGAGAAGGAGGAAACGGAGAAAAAGGGGGTAAAAATGGAAAGGGGGAAAAGAAGTGGGGGACAGAAAGAAGAGGGGAAAAGAAAGAAGAGGGGGAAATAAAAATGGAAAAAGAAAAATGGAAAAAGAAAAGTGGACAAACAGAAATGGGCAAAGAAAAAAAGGAAAAAGGGAGAAAAGGAAAAAGAAAAAAGGAGGGGAAAGGAAAAAGAAGGAAAAAAGTGGGGAGAAGGGGGGAAAGGCAAAGAAAAATAAAAAAGGAAAGGAAAAAAGGAAAGGAAAAAAGGGAAAGGGAAAAAAGGGAAAGGGAAAAAAGGAAAAGGAAAAAAGAAAAGGGAAAAAAGGAAAGGAAAACTTACACACAGGACAGCTGAGGTCATGTAAATGATGGGCTGCACACACTTTCTCCTGTAAATAGTACCAAAGACAGGGGCCCACACATCAAGAGCTCCAGCACTGGGTCCAGTGCCAAAGAGCATCTCTGTCAGAGCAGTCAGTACAGATCAGTCATTTTCAAAGCAACTAGAAATATTGCATGAATTGGAGACCTCCAAAGAGCTGTCTGCTTCCACTCCACATCAGACAGATAGGGCTGCATTCCTGGGATTCTCCTGGAGAGACAAGGACCTTGCTCTTGCCCACTGTCCCAGTCCCCAGGGCCCAGCCCTTGTCCCACAAACCCTGCCACAAGAACAGCAGGAATTACAGCTGTGCCTGCATTTGCATGGATCCAATCTTTGTGCCCTAGAGATAACACTGCTGTAAAACTACAACCTTAGACTCACCAGGCAGTCCTCGAAGTTTTATATTCCCCCACCACTACCACCACATTTCCCTAATGGAGTCTGAGACAGAGCACTTAAAGTTGCTCCAGAGAAACTCAAAACTTGTAACTGGGGCCATTTGTGTGAGCCAGCTCCAGCCACAGAGCAGCCAGGCTTCTCCCAGCCCAGGGGAGATCCAGCCCTGCTCTGCACTCAGGAATTTAAGTTAGCTCTTCACAAACTGCTGGTGGTGCAGATGGGGGTCCACCAAATTACACCACCCCTGAATGTCCTCAGGAACTCTTCTCCTCTGCATCATGGCACAGCTTTTAAGAGCATACAGTGGCCTCTGCTCTGCAGGGTACATATTTAACAACTTCCACACTGCTGACTCCCAGAGAAGAATGTGAATATGAGAAGACAAGAAAAACCACTGCATGGTCAGGGCAGAGTATGTTGGGAAAAGGAAGAAAGTCCCTTTTTTCAAGTTAACAGAAGTCAGCCCTTCTAACAGACCTCTGCAGTTCTGGTACCAGAGGATTACAGGACAGCCAGGCTCTCCCCTACTCCTTAGGAATACAAGGTGACTCTTAGGTTCTCCCTACACAGAGGAGATCTTCATTCACCTTCACCACCTAAATAAATACAGCATCCACTGACAGCGAGGCATTTCTAAAACCTCCTCAATTTCAAAGTCTTGCTCCATTCCCAAATCCAGGATGTGCAGAGCGAGATATATGTAGGGCTTTGCTTGTTTTTTTTTTTTTCTGTAATCAAGAATTTTTTTCCACCTCCACACCCTGTAGTCACCCCCATAGCCAACACCTCCAGTAAAGATCCCTCTCCAGGAAATGTTACACCTCACAGTCAGCACGTTTATGTTCGGCAGAAGAAATCAGCAAAGGATTCTCTCTCTCTCTCTGAGCTTGCCACTGTTTTCCTGCAGACCACACTTCCATTCTGGCCCACATGGGTAAAGAGAAGAGACTTCACCCTCTCCACTGCAAGTGCTGGGGGAGAGACTCTTTTGTTCAGATTTACATTGAACCTCCTCAGACTGAGAGCATCCCACTGAGAAACGAGATCTCAGGAAAGTGGGAGCAAGTAAGGTGTGAGGAATGGAATTTGGCTGGATTGTCTGAGAGGGCTTGGGTTTAAAGGTAAAAAACACTTCTGGCTCTACATTCAGTTTTTCTTCTGCTTGAGGCCACTTGGCTCTATGATGTGATAATTGCCGAGGGAATTACTCCAAATCTCTCACTGTCTGCAGAAACACAGTAAGAGACTACACAGAGTGTTACCACCACCAAGCCATTACAAAAAGGGTTTTAATGTGGTACCAAATAAATACATCAGAAAAAGCCTCGGTGCTTTTCACTTAATGTTTCTGATACCACTGGCAATTCTTCTAACTCTTCACAGGGTTCCAAGAAACAGCTAGTCAAGTTAATCTCCTGGATTAACAATCTAATTACACAGGCTTGTTGCAACCTGCCAGCTAAAGAGGCTGTGTTTGATTCTGTCTGTGCCCCCCACCCCACCATTTGAATAGCACAAGTTTATTAGAAAAGTTTTGGGTAAAAAGTCTCAGCATAACCATCTCCTGAAAGGGGTTTGATAAAGCAGCCCAAGAATCAAAGGAGAAATTAAAAAAAAAAAAATCAGTTTACGTTTATTTTGCAGGGTCAGCTCTTTAAAAGGCCAGGAACATTCCAATTTCTTATCAATACTCTCCTCAAGCATCTGAAGCACAACTTCTGCAGTAAAATAAATTGTTTTGAGGAGTGGTTCATTAAAATCAATCAGAAGCTGCAGGAGCCCTATGGCCTCAAAGTTCCCAAATTCTCAAGGCATTTTTTGCTTACTGAGCTGCATATTTTATGGTCTTCCAGTAGTTGCACACCCCATAGCCATGGAGGGACAGGTGGCTCTCTACTGCACATGGTATATATGGAGAACTGATAGCAAATCTCAAAATTAATTGTTCATATTAAAATAGGTGACAGCATCCTTTGTCTCAGAGGGAAAATTAATTTTTGGAGTAAATGTCTAGATTTACATTGCAAATGGAAAGTTCTAGCTTATTTTTAAGACATGTTTTAATCTTAACTTCAAAATTAATCAGGTACTATTTTGATCAATAAGCATCAAATCTAAAATCTCCTTTGAGGTTTTAATAGTAGTGGGCTTGCAGATTAACATAATAAAATATACTCTGCAACTTAAAGGTTTTTTTCATTTTATTTCCAGACAGCACAGTTACCCTATGCAAATAGTAAACTCTTCCTCTCCAAAGGACATTTAATTTCATTTACTGCACTCTATAAGCCATGCCTACTGCAAAGTCAGCAATTCAGATACTGGAAAAGATGCTCAACTACCCCAGAAATCCTACAGAAGAGGGGTTTACAAAGGTTTTCAGTCTTGGGCTAGCTTATCTCCCTCCCTCTGCAGGAAAGGCACCAACAGGAAACCTTTCGTGACTGAGCCAATCCACGTCTCAAAAACTGAACTGCAGAATCTGCTTGTGAGCTGGTAGAGATCCCAAAGATCAAGTGGAGCTGGGAAAGCTCCAGGAACACGGCTTGTGCATTTTCACCTCCCTCTGCACAGAGGCTGAGCCTGCTGTAAGCCACTACTGTCCCTACAACACAGGGATGTTTCTGACAGCCTTCCTCTCCTAGTAAAGGAGACCTGCACTCCATAGCTCCCACCCCTGAGGTGTTCCAGGCCAGGCTGGATGGGTTTGGAGCAACCTGGGATAGTGGAAGGTGTCCCTGGTCATGGCAGGGGGCTGGAACGAGATGAGCTTTAAAGTCTTTTCCAACCCACTCAAACCACTCAGTGATTCTGCGGTCGCACAGCGTGAGAACGGCACAGCCCATTCTCCTCCCAAGGACCCACAGCGAGTGACAGAGGGCAGGGCAGTCCCACCGTGGGGCACCTTTACCTGCAGCACAATCCACCTGCACGGACTCATCCCGGGCAGACAGACACACGGAGGAGCGCTGCCCCATTTCCCAGCGCGGCTCCTTTCAGCGCCCGCTCCCTAAAGACACCAAACCCGCGGCTCCAGTCCCACACCCCAACACCCCCAGCCCCAGCCCGCTGCCACCATGTGAGTCACAGCTTCCAGGGAAAGGCCCGACTCTTCCCAAGCCCCTGGATCCCAGGCACATCCCCACTCCTCCTGCCCGTCCCATCCCATCCCATCCCATCCCGGTGCGGGCCCGCAGTGTCCGTGCAAGCCGGCACACGCTCAGCCTGGGCAGGGCAGGAATGCTTCCCGCACGGCTCCCAGGGGACAGGCGAGATATGTGGGATATTCCATGGGATATTTCATGGGATCTGCTGCTTGTGAGACGGGCAGGGCTGCACACAGGGAGCGCTCGGTCGCCCCGCGGCTCCCCGGCTGCGCATCTGCGGGGTGACCGAGGGCTCTCAGTGCCTCTGTGGGAACAGTCCCTTGTCCCCCCATTGCCCCCCATTCCCTTTGTCCCCCCCTTACTTCTCATCCACATGGATGCTGGGCGAGCACTTGATGGCGAGCCAGGTCTTCCAGTGGAGGTGCCGCACTTTATACACCTGGCCGAACCCTCCCGAGCCGATCTTCTCCCAGCTGCTGAACTCGCTCTCCTCGAAGGTTTTGAGCAGCCCCATGGCCCAGGGGGAGCCGCCGTCCCTCGCCATGGCCGCTGCCGTGCCCGGACACCGCCCGGCCCCGCGGAGCGCAGCGCAGCCGCCGCCGCTGCCGCCCCGTCCGCCCGCCCAGGTGAGTCAGGTGTGCCGGGGGGGACCGGGCTGCCGTCACTTCCTGGGACGGCCGAGTGGGTGGGTTGTGCACAGCTCCCTGTTCTGTCCCGGGCCGGGCGAGCGGGGCAGTTCCCGGGTTCCAGCTGCCCCGGGGCGATGCTCCTGTCCGGAGCGATGGGGCGGGAGGGGAGCGCCGCGCTCGCTGCTGAGCTGTGGCAAATAAGCTGTGACAAATAAGCTGTGACAAATAAGCTGTTAAATAAAGGAGAGGGGTGCGCCAGCTACCTCATTCCTGCCTTTTCTCCTTCGCCCCATTCTTGCCTTTTCTTCTTCGCCCCATTCCTTCCTTTTCTTCTTCACCCCATTCCTGCCTTTTCTCCTTCACCCCATTCCTGCCTTTTCTCCTTCACCCCATTCCTACCTTTTCTTCTTCAGCCCATTCCTGCCTTTTCTTCTTCGCCCCATTCCTTCCTTTTCTTCTTCGCACAATTCCTGCCTTTTCTTCTTCAGCCCATTCCTGCCTTTTCTTCTTCTCCCCATTCCAGCCTTTTCTTTTTCGCACAATTCCTGCCTTTTCTTCTTCGCCCCATTCCTTCCTTTTCTTCTTCGCACAATTCCTGCCTTTTCTTCTTCGCCTAATTCCTGCCTTTTCTCCTTCACCTGCCCAGGGAGCCACAGCGGGTCCCTGTCGCTCCATCCCTTGACCCGTGCAATCCCAGCCTGGTGTGCGGGACTGCAGCCAGCCTGCCCCAGGCTGCTGTCTGTCCAGCCACGCTCTGAAGCAACAATTTTTAGGCTCTGGGAAGCTGTTGCCGACAACTCAGACGTCTCTGCGTTTTAGTTGCCCGTGGGATTAGAAGGTTTGATGATCCCAGTGCTATATTTCAGTGCCTGGGTCCTTTTGTGGATCTAACTGCAGGGAGCACAGGACCCCCAGAATTTGGGCTTTTTTGGAAAAAACCTCCAAGATCATCAAGTCCAGTCACTGGTCGATCTCCACCTTGCCAACTAAACCGTAGCACTAAGTGCCATATCCAGTTTCTGGAACACCTCCAGGGACGGGGACTCCAGCACCTTCCTGGGTACTCCTCCCAATGCCTGACCGCCCTTTCAGTGAAGAAATTCTTCCTGATTCCAACCTAAACCTCCCCTGGTGCAGCTTGAGGCTGTGGCCTCTCGTCCTGTCCCTTGTTCCCTAGGAGCAGAGCCTGACCTTCCCTGGCTGCCCCCTCCTGTCAGGGAGTTGTAGAGAG